TACTGGGAATACCTCGCCCCCAAATACTGGGAATACCCCCCCCAATACTGGGAATACCTCTTCGAAATATTCCGTCATGATAACCTTTTATTCCAGAAGTTGTATCCGTAATGGATTATACTGGGAATGTCTATCCTGCAACAGGAAGCACACGTTGGACGAGGTCCTTTCATGCTTTCTCTGACAGAATGGCGTGCATTGTCTTATCTTCCTTTGTCTTACCTTACTTTGCAGGTGGCTGGGTCACTACTCCATGATGCTGCCTTATTGCCAGTCTGTTCTTTCCAATTCTCCATGGCGGTTCTTTCGGTTTCTCTGTCGAGCATTGAGTACAAAAGGTCCAATGGTTTATGATGCCGTGATATCTGGTGGTGGAATGGTGGGAACCGCGATGGCTTGTGCTCTTGGTGAGAAACGCGAGACATGTTTGTGGTTATGGGCAGTGTGAATTGCCTATAGAAGGAATAATACATGTGTACAGCAATGTGTAAACTGTACAGTCACGCCTGTATGATAGGAGTGATCCATAACTTGTATTTTCTTTATTTAGGATCTGACCCTCACTTGCGTCACAAGAAAATACTTCTTCTGGAAGCTGGACAAAGAAAAGAGAGGAGTCACCTGCCGCAGCAATTTAGTAACCGAGTGAGCTCCATCACTCCGGGCTCTGCCTCGTTTCTAGCCAGTGAGTCCCAGAACCAAAGCTCTTTCCTGCAGTTTATGGCCACCCAGACCTAACGTGTCATTCCTCTACCAACAGGTTTTGGTGCCTGGGATGATATCTCAGTAATGAGGCTAAAAGCTTTCAAGAGAATGCAGGTATGTTCCATGTCCTGGGGCCGGTAGAAGAATTCAGAAGGAGAAAAGAAATGTAGACTGTAACATCCAAAAGAAAGGGACCGATACCTGTGCCATAGATTGTGTCACAGTTCTATTCTCCCAGTATGCTTTTCTCTTATTTTAGGAGAATGTAGGGTGTTCTGATACAGATGTGCTGGCAGGACTGAAGATGTTACAATTGCATATCACCCACTGACGTCTGTTATTGTTAGCACTGAAAGCTGGATAGCAAGGAAGTACGTGTATAGAAAATAAATCTATCATTTTATCACCTATCTGTGATAATGTGATAAATTGCTTTTTTGTGAAAGTGAATCTGCCATCGAAGCCTCACTTTAAATTCTGTTTTGTTAAAAGAAAACCTTTTGAGAAGTGAAAATACCATTGGAATTCATGGAATATATGCCTTTAATATTGTCCCAGGAAGTCCTGGTTCATTAAATGGTTAATGTAATGTTTGTCGATTCGCAGGTTTGGGATGCCTGTTCAGATGCCCTGATCACATTTGATAAAGATGGGATGGAAGATATGGGCTATGTTGTGGAGAATGACGTTATTATCACAGCCCTCACCCAGCAGCTCAGTTCAATGTCAGGTGAGAGGAAAGGAGTCAGAAACATCCTGTTTGAGGTAGTTAATGACTTATTGTTTAAACTAGAAACACTAGCTATTGCTAGCGCAGCCACCATTTTAACAAAGTTTAAAAAAACAAAAAACATACAAGCTCATTAGCTTTACCCTTCATCGCTAGATTATTATTGTGGCAAACCTAGCCACTTCAGACTATTTTGTTTCGCTTTAAGGGTTGCCCTAGAAAGACTGGATTATATATGATGTTGGATGTCTTTGGTTAAAATGTGAAAGAGGAAATTCGTATGCTAGTGGCACGAAAGCCACTTGCATTCATATGGTAGTTTCACGAACAGTGATTTTCAACACTGTTCGTGAAACGAACAAAGTACCGAATGGGAGCCCCCACACAGGGGGTGGTGTGGCTCCCATTAACCGATCGCAACAATGTATCTATTGGCTGTTAATTGATTCCCCAGATGGCCGTCGTTCAGCTACCGATCACATGGCGGCGGCCATCTTGGATTCCCTTTTTGCCCAGCGGTGTTTGGTCGTCGAGTGCCTGGAACCAAAATCGGCTACTCGACGGCACGAACACCACTGGACTTCCAAGCCGTTCGGGAGCACCGGTCTTTCGGTACTTTTTCCCCACTTAGGTATTTGTGACTTTTATGAGGAATGTATATTAAAGTATATTTCGTGCGGCTGATTAGGCTGGGATCTGAGCAGTACTTTCACGAAGTATGCGCTCCTACCCCAGCTATCTGCCGAACGGTCATTCGGTACAGTGTCATGAATAAAATAGAAGTTATGGATTTTTAAGTAAAAAGCCAGTTCTGCTGTACAGAGGGATAATCCACTTAATAAGATATTGTAGTGGGAGTATCCCTCTCGTACAGCAGTGCATGGTGGGAGAAATGTTCTATATGTTAAGTTCCCCATGTAGTCCCCTACTGTACAACCCCTGTAACTAATTAAGGAAACCCCTTGCATGGGGAACCACATAAATACTGGAGCTTGTGAATAAAATCGTCAGTTGACTCCCAGAACTGTGTTTCATCCGGTTACTGTGGGATTTGGGATATTGCCTTCATTTTCAGCGCTTTCCTTGGATTACCTTCTTTTACCAGCGGAGATATTGGGATTTAAGATTGCAGGTCCGCTACAATTATCCAACCTCTGGGCAGGAACACCATCACTACTGGACAAGCCAACCACAAGAATCTCTAAATCCCTTTATTTTTTTCTCTATAATACTTATAATGCACCTAAAACGGGGGTCAGCCTTTGCCAATTGTGTTCCTTCAAAGCATCACTCAGAACAATATTTTATTTCTCAGTTTTGCATGTACGGTTAATTCCTGTAAATTATTTGTAGAATGCAGCATCCTGTCCTATCCTTCCATTCTCCTGCTGCCTCCTTTCAGATCGTGTGGAAGTTCTTTACCGAAGCAAAGCTGTGGGATACACTTGGCCAGCACCTTACCACAATGGTGAAGGTAGCCCCTGGGTGCAGATCGACCTGGCAGGAGGTCAGAAGATCCATACCAGACTTCTGGTAAGAGAACCAGTTTTCATTATGAAGCACATCATGTGTTCTGATAACAGTTTTACTAGATTTGCTTGTTTTCAGATAGGTGCAGATGGGCAGAACTCCATGGTTCGAAGTGCAGCTGGCATGCGCAGTGTTCAGTGGAGTTATAATCACGTTGCAGTGGTTGCTACGTTACATTTATCCGAGGTGGGATATGTCTAATAGCACATACATTATGAATACAATGAAATGCAGCACCTGTTTGATGTACCCAGCGCTCTATGTAATCGTAATGCTGGGCCATGTATACCCCCTACTACTTAGTAATAATAGTTTACATGTAACTGAAGCTCTATTTCTCTCAATTCGTATGTCTGTGCTCATTTTCCAGCCCACAGATAATAACGTAGCGTGGCAGAGGTTCCTTCCTTCAGGGCCTATCGCACTGTTGCCGGTGAGTGGCTTTTATGCTTTGTTTTTGTGTTTTATCTTTCTGTGAGAAAAAAAAAAAGATACCACCGCCAAGACAATCCAGCACGTAGTAGCCAGGTGCATGATATTAGGGACAATAAATTGAGACTGAAACAACTGCACAGAATATGGGCTGGACCTGCCTAAGTCCAGATAGGAGATACCACAAAGGGTAGTTAAGAATGACAGGGCACCTTGGCCCACATCCCGCCCATGACTTTCCCCTTTCTCCCCCCCCCCCCCTTTTTTTTTCTCTCTCTCTCTCTCTCTCTCTCTCTCTCTCTCCCCCTTTCTTCTCTTCTTCACCAGAAGAAACTATGCACACGTGAGGTGAAGGAACTGATCATGCAAATTTCATCCCTTGAAACCTTTGATAAGGCCACACTCACAGAGGCGATATACAAACAACTAAGAACGGCCAGGGCACAACTTCACTCATGCCTAACATCCAAATTCCAATTCCAACTCGCCAAGAAATTGTTCTGAGTATGGCAACAAATGCAGCAAAATGCTTGCCAGAGCACTGAGAGCCAGGAGGCAAAAATGCTTTGTACAAAAACTGAATCA